AGCCCCCGCCCGGAGCCCGCGCCCCGCCCTCCTGGACCCGCCGCCGTGCCGCCGCCCGAGCCTGGGGTGGAAGGAAGGGCGGCGCTGCCCACTCCGGGCGTCACAGGCCTGTAGCCCGCTGCGCCGCTTCCAAAACACACAGCTGGCTCGCTGGCCAACCGAGGCGGGGGACCCGGCCGGGCCATCAATCAGCCGGCTCCAGCGGGAAGGGCGGCCCCGGGCGGGCGCGAAGGGAAGGGCTGGGCCCCACGGCCAGCGCGGCCTCTCCTGGGCCGAGGAAATACAACTCTCTTAAAAAAAAAACGAAAAAGGCAGCGGCAGTGAGGGAGCGGGTGGAGGGAATAGATTCTCGAGAGAAAGACTGGCGGGGGTCTCGGGAGGACAGGAGGGTAGCTAGGTTGACTTAAAGCCAAACGTGATCCCGAGTTTCCAGGGTCATTCCCATCCTGTTAGGGCGGTTTCTTTGTACCTTGGGGCGTCAGGTCCCTTTCGTCGCCGGTCCGGCGGAGGGACGGTAAGGGCGGGGCCCGCAGCCTCCCGGGGCTTTCCTTTGAGCGCCCGGAGACCCCCCGGGGCAAGCCACTGGCCGGCTGGGCATGCCACTGGAGCGAAGAGACGGCCGCCAGCAGCAGCTTTTCCTCAGCCGCGTCTGCCTGAAAACTTGGCAAACTTTGGTCCCGATCCTCCCTCCCAGAGCGAGAACGAGGGGCCCGCGGAAGGGCTTGGCCCGGCGACCTTTCATGTCGTTTTCCCTGGGACCGAGCTCAGTGGCCTTTACGGCGCTTGGAGCTGGGAGGCGGAAACGCGTTCTCTGTCCTAGCAGGTCCCCTTGGAGGACTTTGCAGAGCTTGATACTAGAGTTTAGTACCTTTTGATTTTCTTTTTAAACAGTATTAATGTAATAAAGAATGCAATAAAAAGAACAAAGGACAAATTGATTCAATTGTTTTAGTCCTGTGTAATGTTTAAAAACGCCCGTGCTTCAATCTATGGCCTGTTATTGCTTCAAGATGTTTTAAAGGCCGTTTAAGTTCACCATTCTCACTTTGATGCTTCACCCAGGCATGGTTCTACTTAAAACGTAGTGCTGTAGTATATTCCAAGCCCCATCATGTAGCTACTCAGTATTGTAGAATTAGTACCTGGTAATCTCAAGTAGTGAAATTGCATATTGTAAGTAATGTATATACATAAAAGACCACGTGAAAGGCAGCCAAAACTAGCTCCGGTTCATTTAAAGATTAAAATGTAAAGGGGTGAGGGATTTTTTTTTTTTTTTAATGTGTAAAAGACAAACTCAAGAAAAAAAGTTGGAGTTGGATTCAGGTGAATTTCAATTCATTGATCAGTGACATTAAATGTCAGATTGGATACCTTAGATTTATATTAGCTGAAAAACCATGTTAGTGATGATTAATGAAATTGCTTGGATTTCAGTGCCTGGCTCATAGTAGGTGCTCAAAAATATGGGTTTCACTCCAGAGACACGGTGATGAAAACTTGAAGCATATGAACCATGTTTGACATTGTTCATGTGGGTGTGGACCCCAAGGAGAAGAGTGAAATAGGTCTGTCCTGGAAAACTGTGATCCAAGATAAGTAGGCAGTGAGTGTCTTTGATATGGGAGGTGGGGGAGAGAGGAGGAAAGCCATAAAAATAGGTTAGTTAATGAACACAGTTTTTAGTGCCCTGTGGGGTGAAGCTCAAATGCAACTTGTACAAAAATGAATCCAGCCAGTGCTGGATAGCTCAGTGAAGGACACCACTATCCTTCCAGTTGCCCAAACCAGAACTGTAAGGAAGTCATCCTCATCAACAGCTACAGCTCCAAGTTTATTGAATCCTAGACCTCCACAGTCACTACCTGCTCCATGGCCACTACCCTGGTTCACACCATTTGCTACAGTGTCTTGTCGGTCATCTTGTGTGCAGCATGGGCGAAGTGTGGGAAAGGAATTGGAGCAAGGGTGTAATAGTGTCTTTTCTAAAATGCAAACCTAAACATGGCAGTCTCTTCAATGGCTTTGCTTACGATAAAGTCCAAGAGCTTACCACCCCTGATGACCAGGCCCTCGCCTAACATTCTAGGTTCATCTCTCCCTGTTTTCCCTTCCCACTTCCTTCTCCAGCAATGCTAAGCTTCTTTCCTTTCCTCCGACTCACTCTCCCCACCTCTGGCCCTTTGCACGTGCTCATTTTTCTAGATGGAGTAGCCTCCTTGCCTTCTCCAACTCCTGACCTCCATTCTCATTTCCCTAAATTCCATTCATTCGAGTTTTGACTTGTATGACATTTCCTCCAAAGTACATCTTCTCTTGCCACGTCCGGACAAGTTGAGGTGCTCTGATAGCACTCGTGTTTCACCTCTCATTCTTTCTTGTAATTGGCTACTTAATTCTCTTTCTATGGCACTCAAATGTGAGAGCCGGAACCTTGTCTTTTTAGTAAAATTGTATTTCCCAGAGCCCCGATGTTCGCAAAATGAACAAGTGTTATCTGTGAATTTAGAAGACAGGGAAGTTGTTCTGAGCTGAAGAGGTACCAGGAGGCTTCAGGACTGAAACCAAACCAAAAACCAAACCCATTGCCATCGAGTTGATTCTGACTCATAACAACCGTGTAGAACTGCCCCATAGGGTTTCCAAAGAGCAGCTGGTGGATTTGAACAGCTGACCTCTTAGTCAGCAGCTGAATGCATAACCACTGTGCCACCAGAGCTTAGATTTATGTTAGCTGAAAAACCGTGTTAGTGGTGATTGATGAAATTGCTTGGATTTCAGTACCTGGCTCATAGTAGGTGTTCAAATGTATGGGTTTCACTCAAGAGACACAGTGAGGAAAACTTGAAGTATATGAGCCATGTTTGACATTGTTCATGTGGGTGTGGACCCCAAGGAGAAGAATGAAATAGGTCTATCCTGGAAAACTGATCCAGTGTTAATGAGACTTATTTTTAATAAATCAGTTTAAATGGAAATTACTCACCTTGTATGTCACTAAAATAAACATTTTACACAGAATTTTGTACTAACTCAATCTTTTTCCCCATGAAAGTGGCCATGAATTGTACCTTGGCAAATCCAAGGGCTTTAGAATAGTGATGAGGAGGGAGGAGGCAGTTCTCCCCATTAATGTTTTCAAGCAGCAGAGTGAGATTGTCAAAGTGGTGTCTAGATTTTCTTTTTATCCTTAACACAGTGCCTGGCACATGTTAATAACCTAGCCAAACCAGTTGCCATCAAGTCAATGCTAATTCATTGCAACCCCATGTGTTTCAGAGTAAAACTGTGCTCCACAGGGTTTTCAACGTCTGTGATCTTTGAGACGTAGATCACCAGATCTTTCGTCCAAGGCACCTCTGGGTGGATTCAAACCTCCAGCCTTTCACTTAGTAGCTGAACACTTAACCGTTTGTGCTACCAAGAGACTTCTGATACATGGTTAGCTGTTCAGTAAATCCTGGATAAATGAAATATCTCAAGCTTGGTCCTTGTGGCAGAGGTTTCACTCTTGCTCCTTGATGATGGCAAGGTTTAGGTTCGGTGCAGGATGCTCAGGGAGGGACGTCCCTTTCTAGCTCTAGCAGAAGAATCGTTGTTGCTCCCAACCAATCATTGCAGTCCCAGTCTCTTTTGCTGCCAGTGACTAGTTGGAGAGTAAGGAGCCTTGGTGGCACAGTGGTTAAGCACTTGGCTGTTAACCAAAAGGTTGGCGGTTTGAACCCATCCAGTTGCTCCACAGAAGACAGACCTGGCAATCTGCTCTCATAAAGATTACAGCTTAGAAAACTGGGCAGTTCTGCTGTGTCACATGGGTTGCTATGGGTTGAAGATAAGTCAACTCAATGGCATCTAACAACAACAAGTTAGAGAGTAGGTATGTGACCTAGTACTGGCTAGTGGGACCTCAAAGGAAGTGTGCTGGGGGCATATGGGAGATATTTTTCTCCCTGATGAAAGGAGGCCCTTCTAAGAATAAGCTTCTGGACCTGTGTCGGAAGTTGTTATGTGAGGATGTGATGCTTGAAGCTGTGGCAACCGTCTTGTGATCATGAGGGGAAAGCCAAGATACCCATAGAACTGCTAATTTAACTATCTCTGACTTATTGGTGGAGCCCTGGTGGCTCAGTGGTTAAGAGCTTGGTTGCTAACCGAAAGGTCAGCAGTGCGAATCCACCAGCCGCTCCTTGGAAACCCTATGGGGCAGTTCTACTCTGCCCTATAAGATCACTATGAGTTGGAGTCAACTCGACGGCAATGGGGTTTGTTTTTTTTTTTTTTGGACTTATTGTTATGGGAGATAATTAAATGTCGGTGTAGTTGAACGTTCTGTAACTCAGAACCCTGATCACCCTACTGACACAGCCCTATTCCAGAGTTCCCTGTCTTGTTAAATGGCATCAGCATCCAGGTAGACCAGTAGGGCTCAACTGGTAGTGAGGGTGGGGGCAATTTTGCCACTCCCTCAAGGGACATTTGGCAATGTCTGGAGATACTTTTGATTGTCATGACTCAGGTTTGCTATTGGCATTGAGTGCGTAGAGGCCAG